CCAAAAAGTACTTTTTCCATACTCTACCATGAGCTCCTTTGCCTCCAGTGCTTACCCATTATATTGCCCCTTGCCATCTCCTTTGCCCTTCAGGGAAGGAACCATAGTGTATTGGCAGAACACGTTTTACATTTTGTTAAAAGGATCAGGTAGCAAGTACACCCAGATGCTGGAGAGCTTTAGCCAGAGAAACAAACAATGGTTGAAATCCAATAGTAAGTCACAACTGAAGTAGACCTTTTGACTGAGTGAAGGTTACAGAGACGTTGAATCACCAAATTATCACTGATTCCATAGGCCTACCCTAATCACGACTTACTACTGGATTTCAGCCAGAGTTAAACAAGGCTATGGATGAATTTGGACAATCATAAGGGACCAACGGGATTGCACTCCAGCAACATCTGGAGTACCATATATTATCTGCCTCTGGGCTATGTAGACAGAAAGTAGGATCATGCCAGGTTACTCTGTCCTGTGTCCTTTTCTTCTGCCAGCTCAAAGTGGAAAAATATGGTATGATGGATGAAAAGCCTCCTTTTACCTTTTTGCATTTTGTCCAATGCTAGCACAGAGAAGACACAAATTGCTGTCATTGGCCATGGCACAAAAGAGAAATAAGGTCAGCTTCTTGTACTTAGCAGAATCCCCAGCAGCATATTCACTTCAATAAGGAAAACTGGTTTCTGTTAAACCCGATAAATAGTATGTCTTCTTCAGAAGAGAACAACAAACAGAAGTTGTAAATATTTAATAACTCTCATTGCCTATATTTTCCTTACATTGATTTAGATTACATACATGATTCAGGGCATCTAACCTTCCCCTGCCACTACTTCATTGTAAATTGTCCTGTAAAACCACTGTCCTCCTCCCTCAGGTTTCCAAATGCATTCAACATTGATTCCAGCCTTTTGCCACTAGCCCACCTTACCTACTGCAGCCACTGTTTGCATGCTTCCTTCCGGGCAAAATGACTCCAATAGAAACATTTACTTTCTCACCTTCCTACATCCTCCCACAAACTCTAAGAGAAGCAGTACTGAGACAGTGTTAGAAAATAAAGGTGAGGAAGGCCTGAGAATCCAGACCCAGACAAAATGTTGTTAACGCAAGGAGGGTACAGAGTGAGGCAAAGGATGTTTTTCTCAATTTCATTTTCCTGGAAATGTTTTTTCTCTCCTTTTCTTCCCCTTTAAATCAAGCCAAGTGGAAAACGAATTACATCCAAAAGGAACAAACAAGTCTGCTTTGCCTCTCTTTTCAGATTTGTCCGAACCTATTGAAGGTGCAAGCTCAGCAGGTTGACTGCGGCCTAGAGGTGAAGAAGGTTTTTCATAACTAGATAAAAACAACTTGTTTATAGGACAGCCATTTCCAGATCAACAACAGAGACAAGGAATGTATTGCACTTGCAGATGACATGCTCAGGCTAGTAGGCCTCCATCTGCTCTCCCCACCACAGATCAGATATACAACAGACCTGAGTGGATAAAATAAAGGTGACAACTTTATTAATTACTGCAGAAATGGCACTGGCTCAGTATGAGGAACAGATCAGGTTATCTGGTTGCCATCTGATGACCACCACCCAGCCTGCCTCCAAGGCAATAGCTGTTTGACAGCTAAAATCTGTGTTAAGGTATATAATTTTTATATACGGCAATAGCTGTTTGACAGCTAAAATCTGGGTGCCATCCCAGTGTAAAACCAGTGGGGGCACTGCCATTTTGTCATGAAGAACTAAGAAGTCCCCCCTCCGAGCTTGATCTGCCCTTATTAGTGACCACCCAAAGATCCTATGCAGGGATCTCCAACTATAGAAACCAAACTGCCCCTATTTTCAACCACCTGGATCTCACCAACAAACAATAAAAGTTTTGACAAAAAGAAAGAGACAATAAACAATCAATGATGTCCTATGTATATCCCCACTCCTTTCCCAAACCTTCCTACGTGTCCATCCCATTAAGAACCAAAAGAGAAGAGAAGCAAGGGAGGGGGGGTAGGAGCCCTGAAACTGCTGAGATTCGGCTCCAGCAGTGAAAAATACTTCTCTCCAGTCTGCCAAAGCTTCTGTCCCTTCCTTGCCAACTAGACACCTGCTGATTGGCTGGGAAGGGAGGGCACCACTATGTCCTCTCATGCCATAGCGCAGTGGTCCCCAACTTTGGGTCTCCAGGTGTTCTTGGACTTTCAGAAATCCTGGCCAGCAGAGGTGGTGGTGAAGGCTTCTGGGAGTGGTAGTCCAAGAACATATGGAGGCCCAAGGTTGGGAACCACTGCAGAGCATTGGTTCCCTACCTTGGGTCCCCAGATGTTCTTGGACTAAAGCTCCCAGAAGCCTTCACCACAAGCTATGCTGGCCATGATTTATGGGAGTTGTAGTTGAAGAACATCTGGGGACCCAAGTTGGAACCACTGCTGTAGAGCCTCCTGGGAGGAGTTCAACGGCGCAAGGAAGCTGATTGTCTGCCATAGCCCACTTCCTAAAGCAGCCACACCCCAAATCAGGCCCCTGGTAAGTTGAGCTGGGTGGGCTCTGACTTGGCAAAAAGATGAGAAAAGAGGTTAGGGAAATGCATAAAATTTGGATGAGCTAACGATCAGTAGGTAGGTTAAGTACATAAGTAAAAAAAAATCAATCAGTCTAGAATGTCTTGATATTTTAAACAAATACAAAGCAGTTCACCATATTAACTTATTTAATTCCTGTTCGAAAAGGTACTAAACTCAAGAAGAGTTAACTGTTGGCCCCTTTTTAGCTTACTGACTATCCCATTTCTGTTCCTGTCTTGAGCCACATATTGATTGGACAATCCTTCAGGATATTTTAAAAGAGAAAGCTTGTTCTTGAGCAGCTCTTCAAACAAAGGACTATCCTTTTTTGGAAAGAAACCATGGCCCTCCTCATTGTTTACATTAAAAGAAGAGTGTTTTTGTAATTTGTAGAACTGCTCAATTTTGCTATTTTTCCCTCTCTTATATATCCACACTTTTGCCCTTTCTTTTTGTTTCACATTTTCTAGAATCATTAGGTGTTCTCTCCTGACATGGCTCTTGTGCTTTAAGAAGTATAAATTCAGCTGTTTATGTATTGAATTTCTGTCTGCCATTCTGCTGTTAAAGGCACAGGAACTGTGCCAGAACATTCAGATGATAGAACCATTTCAGTGTTTAAGAGTTGTTGTTTTTCCTCAGCCGATTTAGAATGTTACTTTTAAGAAAAAGAGATATAATTACATGCCGAGGTCCACTATAAATGAGTACTTGTTGGATTGTCCTCTGAGTTACTTTAATGCGAACTAGTAACCTTAGGAATAACAGCATGGCTGAAAGTATAGTTTATTTTGTTTCAGGGTTTGTTCCAATAGTGGAGTTTAGTACTGTGGTACTTTCCCTTGAAATTAATTTCCACGATCAGGAGCTTCCTGGCTGGAAGCTTTCTGTATATTTCAAATTAGCAGGAAAAGAAGTGGATAAAAAGTTTGAAAGAGAAGGTAATTGCTGGAATATGGATTACTTACATATTTATTAAAGGGTTCTTAGGATTTTCCAAAAAGAAGCAGTTTTCTGAAATGTAGCTTTTAAAACTGAAGTTTGGGCATGAATTATTTATGATGACAAACTGGGAGGAAGTGGCTGGAACTTTTGCACTGCCTAGAAGTGCCCTCAGAGAGCTTTTTCCATCACTAAATTGAACTGATGGTTGGACCATCTCGGATGGTTCTCTTTGCTCTAACAATAAAAGCAGTGTGCACTTTTCTTCTGTTCTTTTCTGTTTGCTCCATATTTGAAGATGGAGGCATAATGGACTCCAACAAAAGCTTGCATTATCTCCACCTTCCATTTTCTTACACATGCATACACAGGCACCCACATCTGCAGTCTTAGTTTGTCCGTGGTTGAAGAAAATAGAAATGATAATTGGAAACATGTGATCCAAAGAAAAGCAACACTGAAACAGAAATGTCATCTCTCTCTCTCTCTCTTGTTTTGTTGTTGTTGTTTGTTTGTTTGTTTGTTTTCCCCAAATGACCTAAGTAGAAAAGCCTGGAGTGTTGGCTTTAGCAGAATGGTCTTACACATCTATTCACAGGGACGTCCTGTTTGAAATCAATTCAGTTTAGCATGCCTGCAACAACAACAAAAATGAATTGGCATTTTCTGTCGGCATGGTTAGGCCTCCCAACGAATACCTTCCTTAAGCAATTTCCAGCAATGCTAGACTGCATTGAATGAGTACTTCTGATTTACCTTCCCATGATGATTGTAAGCCATCGAATGTCAGGAACTTCTGCCAATGTCCGAGAGAGTCTAAAACGAGACTTCAATATCATTTTGGACAGGCATGTATTAACATTACATCAGGAAACAACCCACATTCCTGGCCATGGATCACTTCTGGATGTTGGGGGGATAGGTTATCACGTGTGTAGTATACAGCCAGGGACTGCTCTTTTTGCATAGTCTCAAGCATGCTGAACTCATGTATGTGCAGACTGTATGCTTGATGGTCTAGTCTGTTGAGAATTTTGATTATAACATGTATTCTCATAATATCAGCAGAGTAAGGAGATATTGGTTAGCAGAGATACTTTTGACACGATGACACTGAGAGGGTAAACCCAACAACTTAGTCTATTTACATATATACATAGAGAATAGACATTCCTCTGGCAGCATCACATGACATGAAGCAACACACAGCATAGGAAAAAGTGATCTGATGTACAGCAGATAGAGATGTTCATTTTACACATGACTTATATACAGTTCTGTGACCAATCAGAAAATACATTACTTCGTTTTCTGTTACACAGCGTTTCAACGTGTACACAGCTGTACAACATTAAGTCTTAATCCTTGATACCCACACCTGAATACAATCAGTACAGTGACTCAGGTAAAATCAGCCATTTTACATTTAACTATGCAGCATTAATATTTAATACATTTTCATATCAAAATCTCAACATAGTCAACATTTGTTCGTAGTATTACTGGGTGAGCAGTATCTTGTTCTCTGATATTCCAAGGCCAAAAACGGAGACCAGGGGACAGGACCTTGTGATGTCGCATTGGAGGGCCCTTATCATGTCACAGAGGCAGGCCCAAGAGCTGGAAAGGAAGTAAGCACAATAAACCAGTCAGCTCCCACTACCTGCTGACAACAGATGGAGGAGGGTGCCCTGGCTCTGACAATGCGTCACACAAAATCAAACATTATTCTTCCTCAGGGCTGTTGGCCCTGAGGTTGGTCCCCTATTTGGAGATCCATCATAGCAATTCCTCAGGATTTCAGCTGGTGTCCTAAGAAAGACACCATCAGTTACAGCTGAACAGAGAGCCCACCCAAAACATTTTATTGCTTGAGGCAGAGCAGTACATGCCCCACATCAAACTCAAGCTGCATAATATATAAACACAATCAAGTTATTTTGTCGTTAAGCCAGGACACGCACACACCGCTCATAAAACACTTCTTGTTCTTGCAGTAAAAATAAAATAGCAAACTGCCTATCAGTCATATTGGTCTGGAATTTGTGCTGGGTACCACAGTGTGCCTTACATGCATTCACAAGTCCCTGTGAAAGGTACTGTACTTCAGTTTGACCCTGAGTGGAAGGAAATATGACAGAACATTGGGTTGGCTCCCATCCTCTCCCTGTCTTGTTGCAAACTCAGCCAAAATGAGAGCACCAGTTCTGAACTCAAAGGACATGTCACCATATTCATAATTATATGTGGTTTTAAATCTTCTGCTTGCAAAATTGGAAGGAAACCCATAAATTCTGAATTTTGAATTGTTCCACAGTATAAATTCATTTAATCTGGATGGAAACACATCCTCTTAAAATATATGCACCTGCACAGGACTGGGTGTGTTGATTAAGAAAGAATTGGGTCACTAAGATATAACATGGTTTCAAATACTGAAAGGTACAAATTTTACATGCCAGTAAATCCATCTGTTCAACACAAAAATGTGGAAATGCATTTATCTTCAAAATGACAGGCATTAATAATGATACAAAAAACCTCTCTTGCACATAACTTAGGAAAAAAATACCTGTTCAGTATCAGAGCCCATATAATTAGAAAGACAGTGTCCTTTTCAGAATAACTGACAACTGCCGCAAAGGAGCAGAAGGGTGTAAGATCTTCTCTTAGAACAGTGAGACTGGTCAGGAAAAAAGGTGAATCTTTGAACACTGAGAGGGGGAAATAATTTAATGTCTAAACCAAGCAGTCACCAAGAAAAAAAAGAAAAGAAGAAAACCAAATGATTTCTTCTACTGAGGCTGCAATGATGTGATTTTGCTCAGAACACTGAGTGTCATTCAACATTAGCAAAAAGTGGGAGGATGCAATGCTGAAGTAAGAATGTTTCACTTCTGTTAGGAACATAGGAAAGTGACTTACGCCATCAGTCCTGCTGACTGAGAGATTCTGAAAGCCTGTAAGCCAAGGTCTGACCAAGCTATGTCATCTAGCTTAGTACAGGAGGTTCACAAAATTAACCCACCATGTATTTAAAGGAGGGAATAAGGGGACTGTACAGGTTAAGGCCAGCACTGCACTCTAGCTGTACATCAGGGCTAGACACTCTCCTAAAGACTTCTAGAAACACTCTTGTGCCAACTGCACACTTGGGGCTTCACTAGGTGAGATAGCAATTCTGCATCTGGAAGCAGGGCTCCCTTAAGGGGAAAAGATCATCCATTCATTCTTACGCAAGCAAAATCAGTTTCAATCCACATTCAGCAAATTAGCCTGTTTTTGCTTGGTAATTTGTCAGCTCACTCAGTTTTATGTATTCACAAAGGTTTTCATGGCCGGGATCTAATGGCTGTTGTTCAGAACACCGCCAAAGAGCCCAAAAAACCCACAACAACCATCACTCAGTTTTGCTTGAATGCCTGATATCACAGACCTTGATTGTGGAAGGACAATCCAGGGTTGCCTGGAAGGACGATGTTGTAAAAAGTCTTAAGTACCATGTGACCCTTGGGTGGTGTGGAAAAAGTTCTACCCCCTTATTGATGTTCATGCAGTACAAGCACAGAGTTTTTCCAGGAGAAGAGCAGAGCAGATTAAGCCGAGTCCCTTTTCATATGGAGGAACTCCATGTGCGTGCATCTCAACACATGGAGCACTCTTCCCCGAACTTTTCAAACACACAGCCAGTGAGCAAGAATTTTCTCTACAGACGTTATCAATGGAGATACAGGGGCAGAAGCAATGGGAGGCAGGGTGAAATCCAGTGGCTCCAAGAACCTCCTGCTATGTTTTTTCAACACATGAGGAGGGATGAACCTCCATATCTTCAACAACACTCCAGGGTTTCAAGTTGAGGTTTCTCCCAGTCCTACCTGAAGAAACAGACAATGACCCCAGCATCTCTTGTAAAGAAAGCATGTGCTCTTCTACTCAGTGACAGCTGTCAATGATAAAGGATAGCCAAAAGCTCTCTGTATCAGCCTTAAAGCTGAATAAGGCCAATATATCAGGAGGTGTGGGAGACATTCGGATGTCCTTAGCAGCCAGTATGTACAAGATCAAGATACTTGCCTACCACCACAGTTTCATCAAGGTTTGTATTGAATTTCATTTGCATATGTTATTTGTCAGTTAAACCTCATCACAGTGGTGGAAGGAGTACAGTCCTCCAGATCTCATAAGACTACAACACTCAACAGCCCAAGACAGCATATTGAACATTGAGGAATTTTGGCAGTTGCACTCAAGTGGAAGGATACATTTTGTCCATCCTATTGTCTGGGCCGAATATAAAGCAGAAGGAATAACCATGCCAGGAGCATCCAAGACCTGGGAGCTGACTTTGGGCCAAACGCTCCATTGGCCTGCAAGTCAACTAATATTCCATTTAAAAAAACCTATTGGAAGATTAGGTCTAGGCCCAGTGGCGTTCGCATTTACATCTCTAGTTATTCCAATATATCAGTTATATATAGCTAGGAGTTTCCTCCTCATTTCTGAATAAAAGGGTAGGCCTTGCCTTTTATTGCTCTCAAAATTAAAGGCTACGGGGAGGGGAGTGTCTCTCTTCTTGTTCTTCCCCTTTTAGTGGATTTCAAGCTCTCCCCTACCAATGGAGCACCAGCGAACAGAATCCAGCTTCAACACTAAAGTTCAACTGCATTCTTTTAAAAAATTGCTACTTTCTCCTCACAGTTATATATGAAGGACTGAAGCTTGGCCAAAATACAGCAGAACATGGAGGTAGGGGGCCAAAGAAATCTGAGAACAAAAATATCTTGGGATTTCTCAGCAGAGACCAGTCATTTGAACATCCAGGTGTTTCTCCAACAGAGCAGATAAAATAAACCTGGAGGGAACCTATCCTATTACAAACCAGGTGTATTTATTGAAGTCTCTCTGATATGGATCTGTATTTCCTATGATGATAATACTCCATTTTCCCAACACTCAGAAACACCACAGAAAATCTACAATACTATTTTCCATAAAGGAGTGTGTGTTTATTGACCACTGCTGTGTGGATTTGTAGAAAAACTACACAATATTTCCATTTGGTGCTTGGGATTCTGGTTACATTGGAGGCCTGCGCTGAAAGTTTCTCTCTGTCAGCTGGACATTCCAAGGGTTGTTACTATTATTCTGCTTGTTAGTGGAAGTGGCAACAGCAGCAGATAATAATGGTCAAATTTGGAAACAGGGACATACCACTCCTTCATCTATATTCTCTCTTCATCTCTGATGAGAGCTCTACAGTATTTTTAAGTTTCCCTCAAAACACTGGTTTACATAAGTTATGCAGTTTAACCTGAAAAGCCTTCTGCTTTGTATAGCAATGGAAAGTTTTGTTTTAGTTAAGAAAGAAAGAAAGAAAGAAAGAAAGAAAGAAAGAAAGAAAGAAAGAAAGAAAGCCTTTCTGTCTTCACATTTCTTATATTGGCTGCATGGCTTGATTGAGGAAATATGAGTGAAAAGCAGAACATGATTTGCCCGATCTAGTAAAGCAAATATGTTTCCTTTCCTATATAGTTGTCGTCTTTGCTTTATTGCTGCCATCTCTGCTCCAAAGTCCTTTTAGCTCATGCAAGTCCTGCCTGTTAAAAGAATTAATGTTTTCCTTATGTTCTATTTTTTAAAAACTTTTATGTGCAGTTAATTGAGTTGAGCAAAAAAGAAGTGGCAACGTCTGTTGCTTCTCCTTGAGGATGAGCGTACAGGCGGCGAGGTTGCAAAGGTTACCAAAAGGAAATAATTTGTTCCTGCCCACACATCAGACTGTGAAGATATTTCTTACCATCAACAGGACTAAAATACTGAGTATTTATTGGAAAGAGTTAAATTATCCATTCTGGAAGGACCCACACTGGTTTCTTTTACACTATTGATGAAAATGAATAAATGAAAAGTTGATTTTTTTTTTAAATCCTCCAAACACCCAAATGTTTAAATGTCCACAGCAGGCTCAGGGACCCACTTTAAACTTCAAATTGAAATTTGTATTTTGAACAGTTAACAGTAGCAATAATGACTAATAAGGTAATTAAAGAATTGAGCTTAGTTGTTTGATGATGATGATGATGATGATGATGATGATGATGATGATGATGATGATGATGATGATGATGATGATAATAATAATAATAATAATAATAATAATAATA